GCAGGTTAAAATGCTAGATTTGAAATAAGATTACTCACGCCTTCTCAATGACTTACAAAACTTGAGTGACATTATAACCCAAACAGAGTAAAAAGCATTCCAATCAGGTTCGTGATTCTCCTAACATCTTCATAAATTCAATAATACTTATGCATTACCTATGAGAACCATAAAGAGACATTTTGAAGTCTTTTTCTTAACACCTTAGGGACGCATAGTAAATATGCACTATAAAGTACTATTTTTCAAACATGATGTATTTGTTACATTATAAACTCGGCAGCACATGAAACCAAGTAGTGTATACACCAAGAATTCCCTCCTTTTTTTTTTTTTTTTTAACTTAAATGAGAGGCTACTTTCCATTTCCCAGTACTCTTGGGGCCACAGAAAAGAGAGGATGGGAGGTGAGCAGGGAACAGTTGTCTGTTGGGACCAATCCTCTCCAAGGTGGACTGTGGACATCTGAGGGGAAGGAGTGACAGGGATGGCAGCCACCTCAAGGACTTACCATGTCAGGGTTCATGATCTGCTTGTGTGAGTGCACTGTTGCTGGGAACTTCTGCAGCGCAATGTTATGCAAAAACACATGATGTATGCCTCCACAATGCACGATGTGAGTGCTGAAGTTCTGAGTAAATTTAATTATTAGCATGAACTGAAGGTACTGTCATTGTTTAACTCAGCCGACCTTTTAAATGGATAACCAACCTTGAGGCTTAATTGGATTAAAAAAAAAAATCAATTTCTGGCCATTGCATAGGGTGGAAATGAAGTGTTGCATTCTCCAGCAATTGTAAAATCGGTTTTGCTCAAGACTATTTTTTATTATCTACAATTTTAAAATGCCATTCTCTTTCTTGGTAGGCATTTTATGTATACATATACCTTTTAAAAAAACCAAAAATATACATGTATGCACACCAAGTCATGTAGCAAAAGAATCATTACTCTCTGTTCAGTGGCAGGCTTAGTCATCAGCAGCAATCTCTTCACACCAATTACCCCAAAAACTGAACCAAGGATAATGACATACCACTGTTTGCAAATCTCTCTTAGCCTCAGTCTGGTCTAATCTTTGTAATAAAAAAAAATCCTTGAGGAAGCTTTTACCAAATCACATCTTGACCATGAAATCTTTCTTGAAGAAGGTCACTTAATTTTATGAAAAGAAATGAACAATTAAAATGGCATAAGCAGCAATAGTAGTGGTCTGGAAATTAGAAAGTTGAAGGTTCTAGTTCCAGCCCTGGGTTATATTAGTCATGAGACCCTAGCAAGCCTTCTCTTGGGTCTCAGTTTCCCCATCTGGAAAAGGGGGAGGTTTGGCAGGGGTGCGGGTGCGCTCTTTCCCCAACAGTTGATGAAAATGGAGGTCTATTATGGTGTCCTGAGTCAGAATACCAAGTTAAAAAAACATTTGATTTCCTCTGAGAAAGACCAAATGATGCAAACCAGAGCCCTTTTGCCTCCATTACAACATCTATAAAATGAAAGCAATAGTGATTACTGATGGCAGAATTTGGATGATTAGCTAAAAGCAATTTTAGAATAATAGTTGACAAACAGAAAACAGCTAAACTCAGTGGTCTATTTTAACTAAGCCCAATTTAAATGTACATCATGTTGAATAGAGTCTCAATTAAATGGTCCATTTTAGCCAGATTACGGAGATGAAGTGGAAGCCCACACAATTATCCTGAGCATTCAGGACAGTCCAGGGAGCTACTTTGGACAGTTGGACAAATGATTATTTTCTTTTTCCTCAATTGACCAGATAATTGTGCACAAGTCTCTGCCATTTGACTCTGTGGAATGTCCCTTTGTGTTGTAAGAAGACCTGGCCATAGAATGGGAGGATGACGTCAAAGATGGCGTGGAATCAGGGACACGACGCACACAGCACACAGCTGATGCCCACCGTGTAACCCAAGTCCCAAATCCGAGGCAATTGCAGATGAGCTGGAAGTCTCTCTGCGAGCCCACCCAGCGGCACCCTCATTAGCTCACTCTAATGGCCATCATTCTGAAGGGGGTTGTTTTCCCTTAATTTCAAAACAAAACTAAACAAAAACATCAGGCAACAGGTTAGTGATAGTATCTGGGTGGTCATGGGAATTTGGGGAGAGAAAATTAGGAGTTTTTAAGGGCTAACACAGAGATATACAATTGAAGGCCCACATTTATATGTATGCACAGTGCTAAGTTTGAAAATACAGCTAACATCAAATGAACCTAGTCTGCCTACCTAAATCTAAGAAGAAATGGAAACTTACGACAACTAATCAATAAATCAGCACTACTGAAGTGTTGTTCTACCCTCCCTACACCCAACTAACGAAAGCCCCCTCTGTGAAGACATTAGCCAGGTCTCTCCATACAGTACCCTACACATCTTGACTAGAATAAGGGATCCTCATGATCAAAATGAAGCCCACATGTAGAACAACATGCTATCTTATTAAATTTAGATACAGATCATACTAGGCTAGGTAAGTCATTTTTCTGTGGCTATACAACTATAACAGACAGACCGGGAAGAATTCTAAGTTGCTCAAATTTTGGTTTATGATCAGAGTTCTTAAAGGAGGTTCATGAAATTTAGCAGGGTAAATCTACATCCAGCCTGTTCTCCTACCGTCAATGTGGGCATTCAAAAAGAGCCACCCGACTGTCCATACTTCCATGCCTCCAGGTAAGTCACACCTGAGGGCCAGGACCTGAGCCTTCGCAGCTCTCTGCTCAACACCCAATGTTTCCGATTATATCTGCACACACTTGTAGCATCATTTCAGGAGTGAGCCACCAAAAACTCAGTCGGGACATAACCCATGAGGTTACCACTCAAGAAGCTCACACACCCTGCAGAGCCTACACATTCACACGTGTTGCCACTTTTACAGCAGTCTGCACCAGGATGGAGGACTTCTTCAATGTTATTATCACTAGTCAGAATGTTCTCGAAGCCTATGGTAAATGTCTCTCTTTTGAGAGAGCATTTGATTCTTGGACAGAGCCAATGGCTGGTGAGTAAGTGGGGGGGATGTAATTTCTAGTTAAAAAATTAGGTGAGAGCAAATAAGAGTTGCTTCTTTTGTGTGGTTCATCAACAGGCTCTGGAGGTAATTAATTGCCAAAAGCAACAGCAGCATCACAGGACTAAATGCCTAGCTTTTGGCAAGCTACGTTTTTTTTTTTTGGTGACTACTTATAAAGACAGCTCCTATGTATGTACAGACTCTGCTGTTTAACTAAAAAAAGACATACTCCCAATTGCCTTAGTGACATCTCCCACCAGGTATACACAGGTCAAAGTTAACGCTTCGTGACAAAGAACCATCCCAGCCTTTGAGGAGGAGCTGGGACACAGACACATTTGAGAGGAAATACAGTCCTGCCTTTGAGCTCAACTGGCAAACTCTCTCTGAAGTTTGCAATGTAACAGGATAGGCAACATTCAAAGTCATTTAGAAATTCAAGTCTCCTGGAGCCTGTATGTAAGAATTACTTCTCAACAAGGTACACATACTACAATTTTATTTGAAGATCTCCAAAAGTTTCTTGGTACGTATATAAAGCATACATTTTCATAAGAAAAATAATTATCTGCCTTATAGGCAATTTCTCCTTCTGTATATTGGATAGCAAACAGATTGGTCCCTTTGAAAGCGTCCATTAGACAGATGGACTTTCAGACACTGAGGCAAAGGCCTCAGGCAAAAATAAAGTCATTGGCCCAAATGATCACAGAATGGGTCCTCGTGTAACACAGATGCATTTGAAGAAACCATGAACCCCATCGTTAAAATTAATACTAGGATTGCAGGATGTTCTTTAATCTGCATGATTGCTTTATTGTACAAAAAGTTTCCAGTAACAGTAAATTAGTTTTAAAAAAGGACAAAAAAAGTCATTTTGGATAGAAGTGCTTCACTAATTGCTTTATTTAAGCACACAAGAAAAAAAGGCTTATTTGACCAATTAGGTTGGAAGGGTTTTATTACCTTTAAGAAGCCATTAGCTAGAATAAAACACTGAAAGCACTTGTGTCAAAACAAATAAATAATGCTCTCTCAATTAGCAGAGAAAGCAGTAAATCTGTTAAATTAGAGACATACACTGCTTCACGCCCCTGGCGAAGCCTGAACCCCCACACCCCCAAAATAAAACAAGAGACAGTAGATTTCAGTTACAATCTCGGGAAAGATCAGGAGCTTTGGAGACCTGACAGTAAACATTTACGCTTCTCTCTGGCCCCGGCCAACGGAGCCACCCATCCCAGGACACATTAAAGGGGGCAGGTGCCCAGAGGCTGCACCAGGGTGCCCAGCAGGAGCATTCCCTGCTGGTCTTCTTCTCAGGGCACATCCCAGGCGAGGGCAGAGGCTGGACGGGGCGATCCTTACTGCCAGAGTCCAACACAGACAGACGGCACAGCCTTCCCACAACGGCTGTCGGCAGGAAAAGGAGCCCATCTCCTTCAGAGGGAAAGAATTACCCCGAGGTACCAAGACACGATTACAAACTTTCTCTGACTTCCCCCAATGCTGCTGATCTTTCCCCAAGTAAAGGCTCAACAGAAAAGTACAGTGTTTTGAGGAGCCCAAAAGTGAGCACACAGGCTCTGGGGCTGCTACCCACCTCGGGACACAGTTATGACAGCGGACAGCTGGGGCTTTGTCTGGCACTGCACTGGTTTCAGTCAGAATGGGATGGTCCCCCTCCCCACACGAGATCATTAAAACCATTTCTAATCAGATCCATTATTTTACCCAAATGGGTTGAGGGAACAAAAACCAACCCTAATCACCCTATTCACTGAAAATAAATATACATAAATGGTGATCCTTAACGGGTCACTTTCCTTCAAGGGTTGGTAAGATTCAGCATCTAAAAGCTTTAATAATAATCCAGCGTTACCATCGTAGACTGCCCAGGAGGGAAGCCCCCAGATCTGAACAGCCCCACTCCTAGGAGCAGCTGGTCTAACAGAACATCTCTACTCCAGCACTGGCTTAACATCTGCTGGGACTAAAGGATGCCTACAGCTGCTCTCGAGACCTGTAAGAGCTCCACGTTTCAGGGGTGATCAAGGTGCTGGATTCTTACTCCCTGACCTTTTTTCCTAAGAAATAATTGTTTGTTAGGGAATACCATGCTATTTCCTCAAATGCCAGGGACACTTTGAGATCACTGGATAGCCACATCAGTAATGCGAATACCAGTGGCTGCCTGATGTCGTAAACAACCCGGGAAGGGAAGGCTGGGGCAAGGGTTTGGGTATTAAGCCCATGATCTGTTTGGATAACGTGAATCTCTGGACTTGAGTTTAAATTTCTGGAAACAACTTCAAAGTCAGTTCTCGAGAGACATTTTATGTGACTGGTCCAAATAAAATGTAGCATATTTAATGAGGTCATGCTCTTAAATTTTTTAAGAGAGGTAAAAACAACGGAAAAGCCATTGAAAATTATACAAAGATCATTAAAACTATACTCGTGTCTCAAGACCAATTAAAACATGAACAACTTCAATTTTCAAAGTTATCATCACTTTCCACATTATTCTACAGTTCCAGGAATATATTCGAGCACCATATTGATAATAGCAAGTAAACGACAAAGTCCTACTTTGGCGATCTGATTCACGCTCACACAAACGAGGGATTTCCTAGTCAAGATTTTCACAATCTGCAGGAATATGCCAACTTTCTGGGCATGTTAAGCGGCAATGGAAGAGCCAATAAATCAAACCACTGGTGGAATATTTTACTTTGAAATGGAGTGATGTTTGGTTAATAATTTGAGATCCACTAGTTCTAAATGGGGTGACCCATTTAGAATGGCCTCTGTGTAAATTCACAGTTCATTAAATGGTGCTGGTTTGAACAGGTCATTATGTAGTTAGTACATAAAGAACGAACTGAGCAAGGATGGCTGGGGACGCGCACAGGGACACACTGGCTGATTCTGGTGACTCTTATGACACTGGTAAGTTTCCGTTTAATGTGAGGTTAGTTCAAATCACGAACTTTTAAATTTAGGTGGCTTTGCTCTATAACCCTTTTGGTTGAGAGTAGAAAATGCAGTGCACACATTTTAGATGAGGAATACTCCATTTACCATTAATTTAAACTTATGAAGCTGTTTTAACTGGCCCATCTAAATGTGTTAATTAACATCAATGATGGTTTCTTATTTTTCACACTTTGTTACTCTGATCATTAACAGTGATGGAAAAGCTAAATTAAGTTAATGGGGAATGGATTATAAATTCTTAAAGGACTGCTTAGTTTGTTTTCAACTGGAAAATATATAAAGAAAGATGAAGAGGCATTTTTGCCTCTACTCATAAATTTTTGGTACCAAATTTCTTAAAAACCAGATGGTTTAAAAAAAATTTTTCCAAAAGTTTTTTTAACATGCTGCTCAGACATGACTGCTAAAAAAATAGCATATACACATATAATATTGAACAGCTTGTGGAGTGCCTGTAAACGTTCAACTCATTTTCTCTTTCTAAAAAAAATATATAACTAATGACAGAACTCAATCTCTATTCTGCAGCAGTATCAGCAGTATTAGACTCTTGACAGTGAAGGAACAACAGAAGCCCATCCCCTTGCTCGAGCACGAGTGTGACGAGGAGTCCATGGAAACGCTCGCTGCCCCAAGGTGGATGCATGGGGCTGTACCTCTGCAGGCAGCCCACGGAGCTCGGCCACGCCCCTCACACCGGGAATCCACGCATGCCACACACACAGACCCAACGCCGCTCAGTGAGACTTCACGCTGACGAGGACAACAGTGAGGACAATGATGATGACAAATAATACTAAAATCACAAGCATCTTCCGATTCTTCTTTTGATACTGCTCTGCCTGCAGAAAGAGGAGGGAAAGAGGTGGTCAATTTCCCAAAATCCAAACACCAAGCCTCACTCGCTTCCAGTTCCAGGCTTCCGGCTCCCTCTGCATAAATGACATCTCTGCTACAGGCTACGTTATAATCCCTTCCATCAATTCAGGCGAAGCCATCAACACGAGTGGAAGCATTCCATGATCCCGAGCTGCCCACTTATCCTGGGTTCACTCAGGCGCGTGTTTGGGATCCCCCATGAGACGAGGCTGCAGCAGTCACAGACGCTGCTTTCGGGTCCAGATGGGCCTCTTCTCCTCACCTCCAACTCCACTGACTGTCAGGACCCCCGCCTGCAATGAAAGCCTCCCGTTTCTGGACACAGTTCCTGGGATGAACACACACCTCCTTTCGCTATGAAATCAAACAACTGGCTAAAGTCACCACAGTCAGATGTATCGAACTGAACTGATGGCCCCAAAGAAGCTTGTTTTCTACCTCCCCTGAACTTGCAAACAGGAAAAAATTCATCCTCTGAAATAAAAATGGGAAAGTGCACCCCACAGGTGTCATGTGCAGAAAGAATCCGCCCAAGGTAAGTTCTCCCTGTGCTTCTGATGAACAACCAAGAGGAGCTTCTAAAAGCTCGATACCTTCCACACTCTTCACTGGCAAACTTCAGCCTGGAAGCCCAGGGGCAGTGTCCTGAGTTACACCACGCCTGTCGCAGAAATGCGACCCAGAGAGAGTGAAGAGAGTTGTGAGGGTGGCTCTAACCACACCAAGGGAGAGCACAGCCTGTCCTTTTCTGGACAGTGCTATTCCACGGTGAAAGACAAGGAGACAGCTTGATGGAAATACCTGCTAAGAATATCCAATCTCTTTTGTTCTACTTCCATGTTCCCTACCAACCTTCCTACTGGTAGTTTTGTTTCCCAAGTGAGCCTACCCACCATCCACCAGGAGCCACTCATCAACCAGGAGTAAACATCAGGACAGACAAGTTAACCCATCTTGAGAGTGTGGCCTCTGTGAAGCAACTCCCAAGGCTCAGACATCCTTAGATGAGCTGCCTGCCAAGGAAATGGCCAGCCGTGCTACCGACAGTAGTGTGACTTGAGAGAGAAGACGGAGCACGCTTACTTTTCTAATAAGTAAGCCAGACACCAGGGAAGCCAACACTAAATGATATACTTTAAAACCTCTCAAAATTATTTATAAAGTAGAACCCAAAACAAAATTTTTAGTTCCCACTAGATTTGTACACTCCCGCTGAGAAAACTTTTCCCTTTATCTGTGTTATATTACAAAACATGTTTTACTAGTTTTTATTTAAGAAACTTCAAAACCAATGCATAATTCAACAGCATATCAAAACCCAGGTATTACAGAGTGAGAAACTAAAGTTGGTTTTCACTCTTTTAATATACAAGGCTTGGCAACCAAATGAATCTTAATGCTTAAACAGCGCTCTGTATGTACAAGGCAAACCTTTTCTCTCTTATTATGTGCTGGAGTCTCACTCCCACCCCACACGTGGACGGGAAAGTGAAGGGCTTCTCGCCAGCCCTGTGCAGGCCCTCACTGCTGTAAACCCGAGACTACTATTAGATGGGCCATCTCTGCTACAGGAAGTGACTCGTTTCAGAAAAATGATAGAGTAGTACATTAGTGAGTCAGAAAAATGCTCATTATATGGCTAGAAATACCACTGGGTCTCAAAGATACAGGAAACGGACACATTTTTTTTTTTATTTCTGAAGTATTATATTCCTTTTAAAGAAAATGTGCACCCAATTATATACAAGAGCCATTCAGCAGCATATGTATATGTTTCTCGTAACTGATTACAAGATTTCTAAGATGCTTTCCATTAATTTTTAACAAATATCATGAAAAATATTCCTGAAACAGCAACCTTATTAGCAAAGAATAAGAGAGCTAATACTCTCACTTCAACAAACCACTCTTTTCTCAAGGTAGTACACAGATACACAAATATGTGGTAATTAAAAGGGAAAATTAGATTCTCATCTCCTCCAGAATGATTCTCCACCAGCAATTCATCAGAAATGTGTCACAACGAGAGGCCTGAGTCAGCAGCAACAGACAGAATGTTCAACACATATTTTAGCAAATGCCCATTCAACTGATTTCCTAAAACAAGAAGACTCAAAGAATGAAATATTTTCTAAAAGTAAGAAAACCCCAATTCCTTTAGAATTTACTGTCACAGAAGGAAGTTCTCAGCAATTTCAAATCTAAGTGTGACATGCACCTGGAACCATCAACTGCAGGAAAATGGAAACAACCCACATGGTCAGTTTTGAATAAAACAATATTGTACATTTTTACACTACTGTATTGAGAGGCGACATAGACAAGAGTGCTGAAGACAGTTATGATAGAAGAGAATCCTCTTATGAATTCTTGATATTTGATAATAGTTCCTCAAATTCTCAACTATTGAAAGATATATTACCTTGTGAAGCTGTTTCAAGCCATCTTCAGTTTTGATACAGGACTGTTCAACATTATAGTCAATTCTATCAAGGACTGTACCCTGAGTAATAAATGACAGTTACAGATGATCAACAACCGCAACTGGGAAAATGGAACTTCAAAAATGAGACATGCAAATTGCAGACATCATTATCCACAGGATTATGTGTTTTACTTAACTGTGTTGTAAAGGTACACACTGAAAGCTCTGGAATCCACCATCAAGCAGTATTAGGCACTCAGTGGCAGAGTGCTGTGTTAGTTGCAATAAAGTCTAGTTCAGGAGAAATACTGACAAACTGAGGTTTCTTCTTTGGATTTAGCCACTATAGGATACGCCATATTCAGACTTACTGGGGCTTTAAAAAATATACAGTTCAGTGGAAATAGGCTCTGAGTGGTGAAGGGCTAGCTTCTGTGCCCATTTGCTGCTTAAATACTTGGATTCCAATAAGCAGAGCACGCCAGTTAAGCTAGACCCAGCTACGGTTAGTCCTGGAAATTGACTATCCTGTCTACAAACATCAACACAGGTCTCCATGGGTGAGAGCGATGACGGTAAGCTTCAATCCACCATGAAAATTACACGTTTGCCTCACGGAGAATTTTGTTTTTAATTGTTTAATCTCTTGGTTCAAATAGAAAAAAGAGAACACTGGGCTATATGGAAGAACAGGGCTCTTAACGGAAACACGCTGTATTAGAAGAGGTAGCAAGAACAGTTCCTTGGGAACTGTGGGAGTAATTAATGTAACTAGATCTTCCATAGCCTCAACACTCCATTCTGCAGCTAGTTTCAGGGGGATCAGGACCCAAACCCCTGCTGGCAAGATAATAAAATACCCTAATCAGATTGTAACAGTGAACAAACAATTTAATTCTACTTGAAAGCTGGTGGTTCCCATTGCCATTACACAATAACCTGCCCAAATTAGAAGGGAAACCTTATCTAGCACCAGAATCACTGCTGAGCATGGGCAGAACCAACCAGACCTCCAAAGTAGGGTGCTCTCGTGAGCACCCTTAGGGTACAGGCAGAGAATATGAGAACTTCTATTGACATTTATTTTTTATCTAAAGAAAAGGCTTATTAGTATTTTTATAGGGAACGACAGTTAGTAGATGTATATAATTTGTACATACACACATACATATTTATATATCTATGTGTGCACATACACACACACACACACATACACACGTTGAGGGAGTAGGTTCAAATTTTTTTCCTGACAAGAGTGCAGAATCAAAGAAGTTTGGAGAAGGACCAGATATCATGGCAGGAAAATCACTGAGGAGGGTGGCAAACTCACATACCTGTTCTACAATCATTGCTCCTAAGTCCCTAAAGATTTCATTTAGGTCAGAAATAGACTGTACAATCTGGCGGATCTCCCGCTCCCTCTCCTCCACCATCAGTGTATTCTGCTCCACCAGCACTAACTGGTCACCTGTAAAACCCTAGCAAAACAAAAAAATACAGAATTTGTATGTTACATTTCATTCCCCCTCAAGAAAGCTATGGTGTACCATTTTAGATATAATTCAAAGAAAATGAATTCTGAAAATATTTCTATAAAGCCTCTAAACAACATATAAGCACTTATTTTTCCCTAGCAGGAAAGATTCAAATTCCTCAAACAAGTGGGATCTAAAGCACTATTGGCCAAAGCAAGGGGCACAGAGAGCACCCCACGTTTGCAGCCAAGCAAGGCTGAACAGCAAAAGCAGTGGGGACAACCCTGAGCTCCTCTGGGTTCCTCCCAAGAACGGGGTGTGCAGATTGCTTTCCCGAAGGTGCTAGAAGGCAGATCACAGGGTCTCCCAGCAGCCTTTGGGAAGGAAGAAACAGCATGGCCCCCATGACTGTCCTTCCACCTGCTGCAAAAACGACTTGATGAATGCACAAGTCAAGCAGCGCTGATCCATCTGCACCGCACAGAAGTTAGAAGTATATGAAGACAGGGAAACAGAGCAGAGGGCAAAGGTACACCAGTCAATTGTGCAGCCCCTTCACGTACCCGATCATAAAGAGTATTATCGTCTCCATCATCCATTAGTGGTACTGATGTATCAAAAAAATGCTGAGATCTTTCCTCTCGATTCTTCACGCCTATCATAGATAGGAATTCACTTTACTCGAATACATCCTGGTTACTGTTCCACCATTAAAAAGGGAAAATCTAGAGTAAAACTCAACAGTCAAAATGGAGATATTCTTAGCAGCTTTAAAGGACGCCTATCTCCACCAGAGGTGGGGGGAGAGTAAAGGATTATAAACACACAACAATATGCAAGCATTTGGGGTTATTCAAGACAAATATCACACTGTAAATGTGGACAATTCACTTGATGCCAAGTGAATAACAAAACAACACAACAATCTGAGAATCTCTGAGTGAAGCAGAAATATTTAATCTAACTGCTGTTACAAAACATTTAAAAAATAAATATTTCTCTCCAGAAGCATCTCTAGGAAGAATTCCAAATGGCCCTAATCAAATTTTAGAAGTAATAAAATTAAAATACAAATATGCCAGTTGTCAGGGGAAGGGAGAACTCGTTTTTTGGAGTACGAGGGTATCATTGATTACGCTGGCGATAAGGAAGAGACAGTTTACAGGAGAATCAGAACGAGGCTGCAGCTAAAGCCTGGGCGGCACCACTCGGGGAGAAAAGGGGGGCTGCGGACTCGCTGGTGCCAGCGGGGAAAGCGTCACCCTGCTCCCGGGATGGGCTCCCAGGCACCCTCAAGGCCCTCAGTTGTTACACAGATGCGGAGCTTTGTGATTAAGAACGTGATTATGACTGTTTTTTTACCCACTCATCAGCAGCTTCCCACATCTCAACGTCTAGAAAGCTACAGGTTTTTAAATGTGCTGGACTGATTTTCAAATTCTTTAAGCTTAACACAGTATAAGTCTCGTTTCCTTGGATGGGAACTATTTTGATACCCGGTCCTCAGCCTCAATGCGGGCAGTTTTACATGGGGGCTTCCTTTTGTTGTAGGTGTGCATGTGCTCAAAAGCTAACAGCGAAAGGTACAGTACAAAATGGAGAACGATTAGCAAAAAAGAAGGATGAAAACAAAAAGTAGCTTCGTGGTTCTAGCTGGAACTTTTCTCACTCAAAATCCCTTAAATCGCCCGGGCAACACTCACGTTTAAGGTAGCCTGACTGTGCGTGCCGGAAGCTGGTGGACAGCTCCTGCAGAGCCTGTGCCAGGGAGGCCACCACGTTGCGAAGGAGCCGCTCTTCCTGCTCGGAGCAGGCCCGGCGGGCCCGGCTGGGCAGAGCCTGCACTGCACGCTGGCATCTGTGGAAGAGCTGGGAGAACAAGCTCTCAGTTCACAGCAAGCCCAGAGAGAGCCCTGAAGTGCTAACGTCTCTACACTCAAGTCTGAGGGAGACATAGATAAAATGCTCTGCTCATATAGGCCAGCATGGAGAGAGGTGAACAGATAAAGTCATCTGAGGCTTAACTTACACACACACAGACTGAACCTCAAGTGAACAAATATGGTACATGTGTGTGCTGTGTGCCGGGCACTGCACACAGGTCATTAGGCTGCCTTACCATGCATCACTCTATTACTGCCTTCTTCTCGTTTAATCCCTTCTACCACTCTAGGAGGCAGGTGTTATTATTATTATCATCATTCCCATTTTACAGACAAGAACACCAGAACCAGAAGGATTAAATGAGAACCATGCTGCTGTTACATTGCTAAGAGCCAGGATTCAAACATCCCAACACCCCAGAGCCTTTCCCACAGCACCACACTCCGCCTCGGATCATTAGCACCCAGGAGATCTAAACAAATAAAAAACGTCATCACTAAAGTTTAAACACCAGTCACATTATCGAAAAATTACTCAAATTTAACATTTTACGAGAAATTTTTCTAGGATGTTAAGTTTCTCTAGGAAACTAATATACTCAGTCCAGGGAAATAGCTCTCAGTCTTTTCAATTAGGGGGACCATTTTTACCATTAAAAAATTTTAAGCACCAGTATACAATAGAAGTTACACATTTCAAAATCAAATTGTTAAACTCAGTAACGCTCTGAAATTTAATTTGTAAACCAATCCACAGTAGTATCTACCAACAACTGAAAAACAGCCCCACTCCTCCAAGACATTGTGCACATCTGCGGATAACTGGAGGAGCTCAGGGCCTCGAGTCCCTTTGTGAACCTCAGGTTGGGAAGTGAAACTCTAGAAAACTGATTTGTAATCTGATTTAGAGTTGTACCACGTTCCGGCTTTTGAGAGGGTCGTGAGAAGGCAGGGAAATGCCAGTTCCCACCTGGGGATCCACTTCCATCCTCACCTGAGTGATCTCTTGGGTAGTTATTTCAATGGCGTGCTCCTGCTCACTGCTGTCATCCAGGGTTGGTCTGTTCAAATGCTGGTCATGAAGGCTGGCTAATTCCTTCATCTTCTGTTTAATCCGGCCAACATCGTATTGTATCTAAACAAATGAAATCACTAAAACTCCGCTGACGCCTGCCAGGTATCTGTCTGCCTCTGAGATAATTAGTGCACTCAGAGTACACAGTTCAGTCTTTAGCCAACTTGTAGGCTCGCTGATGTACGAGCAACTTTTAATTCAAATTACCAGAAATTCAAATACCATTCCTCCTTGTTATATATAGTTCTTCCATTTCTTTCTATAATTCAGGAAGTTACTACTAAAGCCAAAATCACTAACACACACACACACACACACACACACCCCTTTCTTGTGGTGTGTAAATTGAATAAACCTAAAGTATTTCTGGGCACATGCATTTAAGCGTAGCAAAATCAGATATAATGGCAGATATCTTAAAATATGTTAATGTCATAATTACTTAAAGAAATAAGATAGTGTGAAACTAACATTCAACTTACTTCATCCACTCCATCCACCCATTTCGGAGGTGACCGTTTTGTCACGCCAATTGCTGCTTCTGGATCTAAGCTAATGCCTGACACCAGAGCCATACGGTCGTCAGCAAGCTACAGGGAAATAAAGGGACGTTAAAAAAATTATTCAAATTCAATTTAGATAAGCACACTCTTACTCTCTTTTAAATGTCACTCTCTAAGAAGATACAGAAATGTAGGAGTAAATGCACTTGCCTGTATTATAAACTTGCTTTTGATACTGCTAGGATTTGGAATTGTTTTCCTATCTTTTCATGCACCAGTTTTTAATTTCCTTGGACATAACTTGTGAACATGAATTTGACTTGATTTGGCTATGGAAATGTAATGAAAAAGTAAACAGAAGATCCTTAAAAGATAGACTTCTTAGTACTAGTACTACGATAGAATGGCATAAACCTCAGCAATTACTATGATCAGACACCAGTTAAAAAGAATGTAGGACTGTAAATAGTAGCAAGGTTTACTCACATACATTTAGCTTATTTTAGAAGTAGGGCTGATCCAGTTATCTTAGTCACAAGATAATTAACATGTGTTAAATGTGTAAAAGAACTGCCTAAAACGGTTAACAAATTATCCACCATTTGGCAAAAGCACTCCTTAAAATTTCAATGCAATTTTACACTGTCGTTTCCCTTCTTCAGTTAAATGCCCACAGGCAACACTTTCACTTATTTTGAAATGATATTGACAGTTCTTGTTTATTTTACCTATATAACACACTGCCTTAGAAAGCTTTTAACAATGGGACGGAAATCATGGGTTTGGCTTGGTTAAGCGCTTCTCTTGCCTGGACACAGTGAATGGGCTGAACTGATCTTGAGGTGCCCTCTGAGCTCAGAATTTAAAAATGCTAGTTTCAAAAGATCCAAATGAGGATCCAAAAGCAATGGAAAACAGCACATAAAAGTCTTTTATAGGTGATACTTCGTAAATTTTCTAAATCACACTGCAGAATTGGGTGAAGAATTTATATTGCTTTTCTTCCCCCCCTCCCTGCATTTATTTAAATTTATTTTTTTCATTCATTTAGCAAACACTTGTTTGCTTTTCTAACAATTAAGGAACAAGAAATTTAAAAATCCACAGATGAAGGAGAAAAAAAAACTCACATGAGGAAAAACCTAGAATAAAAGAATTCTTCAAGTAATAAGCCCTAAATCCTGAACAGAGAGTTTATAGCAAAACTGCTAAAAGCAAATCAGTATCTTGCATCTCCCTCTCCTTGAGCCCCTAGTGGTTCTGCCCCCAACTGCCTGGGCATTCTGTGTATTCAGAGAGTGCACCTTGCGCAATGACCACACCGAAGGGACCAGAATCCTCATAACTGCTTCCGAGCATCTGTGAGCCGTGATTAAGTCCATGGCGTCAGCCGCCGAGTGGACCCTGCAGGCCCACAGCGTCATTTCAGGTCTTAAGCAAACGGTGTGTCATCCAACCTGCACCGTGTAGGGCTATGAGGCCATGAAGTGGTGATTCTCAACCACCGCCACCTTGTTTGTTTTTAAGAGTTCACTAACAGGAATTTTACATTCTTTGTACTATTTTAATCCTCACAAAAACTAGGTGAGCTAGGAACTATTATTCCAATCCATAAATGAGGAAATTGAAACTCTGAAAAGTTAAGTAGCTTGCCCAAGGTCACAAAGCTATTAAGTAACAGATTAAAACCTGGGTCGGCTGACTGCTGACTCCTGAAGCCCCATCCATTCCACAAGCTGTCAATCACTTTGGCAGGCCCATGAAATATAACTGTAATTTGCTAAGAAAACAAGCCTTCAGATTAAAACACCACCACAAAACACAGTCCTCCCAAACCATTCCCCACCAACTGCACTAGGGACTACAGGAAAGGCTCGGAGTAAGCATATAGCGTCAATAAAAAGCAGCCTCTCTTGGGGACCATCTGTGCGGGAGGTGCGGACCTCATCCTACACAGAGCAGGCACAGACAAGGAGGGGCAGAGCTGTTTACTCCTCAGAACTGCTGCTCCATAGTCACCAAGGAGTATGCAACTTTGTGGAGGGTGCACTGACCAAGGCAGAAGGGACAAACCACGTGTCCAGCTCCCAGCACCCCAGCTATACAGCAGGTGCTGGACAGAGTTGTTGCCAGACTGAGGCAGAACCTGAACTTAAGCCTCCAGCTGTTTATGCAAAACAAAACCTAAAATTGCTAAGGTACCTCTTCATGACTCATAGAATTTCCACTACGCCAGCTTATTATCTAATGCACTGTATTTTATTATTATATCATATTTCAATAGAGTAATAATTTGTTTTATTTATAGTTTTTAAACTGATGATCTTATTTTGTACTGTTTCTACTGGTTACAAATATACATTGAACTAAAAAAAGACAGAGAGAAGGGGGTATTTATCTAAATTTATCTGCATAGTAATTATTATCAATTTCTCTGAAACAAATAAGAAATTATAAATCATGTAAGAAGGTCAGTTGAAGTGGATTCAACTCTTCCAAGCAGTATTTGATTTTACACAATAGATGTGTTCCCCCCAAAATGCAAGTAAATCAAAACTGGGGCAAACACACTCTCTTTAAGTGTCCTAAGGAAGCTTGCTTATTAGGAGATCCCCACATGAAGGGGACAGATGCCAGCCCATCTAGCTGGCCCTAGCTTTCCCATACACTGTATCAGGATTTTGCCAGCAAGAGATTCTTGAGACTCTAAACTTTAAATAGGGAATAATTTGTCCCCTTTATGATACAGTCTATAGGAATAGCTCATCATGATAAAGAAATTCAGTCCTACTCAGAAGAAATGTGTCACTTATTTTCAATATGGATTTGTAATATGCATCACAGTATGTACTATCTTGTTAAAAGATTGTTTTGGGAAGAGAAGAAAATTGAAGATAAATGTCAATTATTTGAAATGGGAACAAATATAAACATAAAAAAATACATTTTAAGTGCAAAACAATCACCCTTTCACCTTCTGAAAACTCACTGCCCATCTGAAAACGTTTTCTTCTTTTTCTAAGATCCAGGATACATGTTTTCAAGCTACCATCCCAGTCAATACAGACCTTAAAAAACTGCCAGATATTTAATTCTCTTCACTTATTCTTGCTGAATTTCAACTTAGTCCCCCCTCCGAATATATGATGTCTGTCATTAAAGCTTTTCATATATGAACTTGTGCTTCTGAAGTAAAAAAAATCTTTTCATATTTTTTAAATAAAAAAATTTATAAAAATTGTACTTATGAGAATTAAGAATTTAAGAATTCTGGTCTCTCTGATTTGTAGCTCTGTCCTCCAAGAACTATGGGGGTGCACTAACCTAACTCAGGGCCATCTAACTCAATGTCATCAATGCAGGAAAATTCCAATGGATGCTCAAAACAGCACACTCAAACGGCTTCTTGCTAGTCTCACTAAAGTTATCTTTTGCCCTTGATCCACTTAAGATGTTGACACTTGTCCCTTTAAAGAGTACCAGACAGAAGGGACAAGTTCTTGATCTATGGAAGGAACACACACACACAAACTCCTATAAATCTCACTGTTCCAAATATACAGCCTTCCTACTCTTACAAAACCCTGCCTTTACGAGAAGGCTGATTTAGTGTACTGTAAGATTAAGGAAACAGCAAAGCCTCTGTAGAGATTAGTCAAGTCAGACACACGTCCCCCCCACCTAAAAAATATAAACTAAGTTCAGCCATAATGCATTGTTAATAAGAACCAATACTGACAATGCTGGATTGTCTGTGGCAATGAACGTGTGAAAAATCTAGAAAGGATGCTGCAAATTACAGCCTGGCGTTCTCACTTCCACGTGAGACAACCTAGGAGCACATATGATGCAGTCAGACCACAAGCATAACTCACAGGGCTCAGAAGGCTCGAGGACTTCGCTAACAGACAATCAGGCTTAAGAAACCTCAGGGTTCTTTGAAGGAGTGAATAAGCATGTAGATAAAGGAGAATCAGGGGATGTCAGCACTGCAGTTTTTTAAAAATCTGTGATAGTTTTAAAAGTGTTTACTTTTTCTGATTATGAAACAATAAATGTTCAAAATAGGCACTTTTCCAAGTGTGCAAAAAATATAGAAATAAAAAAATCTGAGAATCACACCACCTAGATATGCATATTGCTAGCTCACTGATTTTCCTTTTATATACACCCTTCAAAAAATAAGTAGGGAGCAATAATGACCTGTATTCTGTTGGTGCTGCACTCCCACTGGTTTGATCTTTTCAGTCCCAATGACAAACTTTCAGAGGGGATTGCTTCCTGTTTTACATATATGGACCCTGAGGCCCAGCTGGGTTCCCACACTTTCTCAGAGCTACCCTCAGCCTGTGGCCCTCCATGTCACCACTCTATCACCCGCCCTGCCCAGGCTATAAGGTTTGGGATCCTGACATTTACATCTTGTAATTTTTTAATACTTCCTTTTATGAATTTTAAAAACCCAACAACTTGGGAGACAACTCTGTCATAGGAGGGAAGTAGACTACCACAGGGAACAAAGGGCAGCGCCAGACACCTCTCAGGGTAAGAGAAGGAACAGTGGGTGCGCTTCCTCCGCATGGACACCTTACTTAGTATTTCTAGAGAAAAATGAAGAGTGGTCTCCCCAGGGTGCGGATCTCAGAGCTGGTTTGAGTAGAACGACGAACTGATATGGACAGACTGCAGGAAGCTACCAGATGGCTTTATTCTGGGAGGCCCAGACAATGCAGTCAAGAGTTTGCTCAGGCCTCACCTACAAAGAGGTGGGTTCCAACCAACCCATGCCAGGAGCTGGGGGTCACTTGTACTATTCCCAGAAGACAAGGACTCGAAGCCCGACTGCAACCTTGGCGAAGCAAGGCTCTGGATACCATTCCCCATACATCCCCAGCTCCCAGCTCAGCCCCTGACACTTAGCAGTAATAAACATACAATTATAATTAGCTGAATGAGTCAACAACAAACCCATGGAGTGAATGAATGAAGTAAATAAAATACATGTCACGTACAATTCTGGAAGCTACCCTTCATAAAAGATACAATGGTTCTGGACACAAGACAAGAGGGGGCATGTGAACTGCTCAGGAGGATGAGGTGGCCAGGCGAACCCAGAAGGGAAAGCCTGGACTCTGAGTTCAGGGTCTTCTAACAGACGTGAGGTGTGTGTGGTGAAGAAAGTGGTTCTCTACTCAGGGTCTCTGGTAACGGAAAGTGGAAACCCTCTTTAAACATCCAGAAACTAAGAAGAAGAAAAGCAAAAGGGCCTGCTAGTTCCCACACTGAGTGTCCAGTTTCTGGAACTTGCTGCCTGAAGAGGAAGTAGGAGAGACTGCAAATCGGTTCAGAAGGCAGAACCCTAAGTAAACATGACTGCTGACGTGCCCCTTGTGTGAAACGTATTCAAATGCTTCTTCAACCTACGTTGTTCCATTGTTTGTTATTTTTCCCTCATCATACACTTCCTTTTTGGGGCCACAGTGCCATATTTCCAAACTGTTCAGTAAGGGGTAACATCTATTCTAAAAGGCCTGCTCTCTAAGCCCCCAAGCCTTATCACTTCTAGAGTCTGGTCAGCAAATCCACCCATGTCTGCTGTACCCCAGAGATCCTTAACTTTGTTGTGTGTGAGCTGAAGTGACTTCTCATCTCTTCAGGGCCCAGGGCCCAGGGCCCAGGCTGGGTGCTGGCAAAGGAGCTTCCTGAGTCAGGCCTGGCCATGGCACCTGGCTCAATGAGCTACCGGCTCAGGGTTTGCTTCTAAATACTAATTGTTTTCTAATGACAAAAGTAATACATGCACATGGTTTAAAAATATATATCCAACCTAAGAAAAGGGTTTGCAAAAGAAAGGAAGTTTGTCTTCCATTCCAGACTTTTCCTGGAAGGTATCCACTGTTAACAGTTTCTTGTGTCTCTTTCTAGAAATTTTTTAAGTATACAAGCATAAATGTGAGTTATTTTTCTTAAAAAATAAAAAAAAGGATGGGAATCACGCCGTCCACGCTATTTTGCATCAGGCTCCGTCACTGAGCTGTGTGTCTGGGAGCTGGCTGTACTGCCGCCTTCAGGGATGGACTGCACTGTTAAACAGCTACAGAGAATTAGAGATGCTACATAACTGATTTAACCAGTTCTCAATGAAGGATGTTTAGGGTCTTCCCCGTCTTGTTATTATCAACTAGTCAAGGTTTTGAGAACTTACAGGTAGATCTTAATCTACTAGTTAGGAACCCCCTTTAGTTTTGAAGACAGTGATCCTAATCCTACCTCACTGTTCATACTTATAATTAAAACAAACAGAAACAAAAAACACTCTCCCACTTATTCTTTTTAAAAGGTCTACCCTCGGGAAAAATATTTTTACCCCTTCATCACTGAAACAGATAATAGAAACACATAAAAAGAGTGAATCACAGTTTACTCTCCTTTTCCTCAACCCTTTATTAGTGCTACTCGAAAAAGTGCTATGAATGTGTCCTCTCTCCATCTTCTGGGCAAACTGCTAATAGGTAATGAAAAGGCCAAAAGTGTGCTGCTAGGAAGGAGGCAGAAAGGAGACCACATGATGATTAGCTTGGTCTGCATAAATGGAAGGTCACTCGCTTCATCCCAAACACAGGGACTGCAAAGACCCCCTCAACAGGTCCAGTGGCTCAAAGTCCTACTTCCTGAGGGCTGTCGCCAGACACCATGTCCTTCTACATTCCACCTGAGCAACCTCACCACATATTTCTCAGAAATCAAGAGAGTTACGCACATAATGCTAAAAACAATCTGGCTTATTTTAAGTTCAAGAAAATGTTCAACCTTTACTGCTTCCAAAGTTGAGACACTTTCCCAAGAGTAGTAAATAATGTTGCTAAACCCTTCTCTAAATCATCAGTTCACCTGGTGTGACAATATATGAAATAAATCCTAAATATTAGATTGTTAAGCACGATAATTATAAGTATTCAAAACACATGCTACAATATGTGTAAGCTCTATTAGCATTTTACATATGACCAACAACTTCAGAATAAGAGGCATAGTTTTATAAACTAACATACAAAAATATTCAAAACACAATACCTCATCCAGCTCCTGAAGAGATATGTTGTTCCCATCAGTCCCATCCAGTTAGAGATAGCAAAAAGAAAGAAGGATGGGGACAGACAGACAAAGTATGGTCAGTTGAGAAAACACTGAGATTTTAAGCAACTCTAAAGTTAACTAAAAATAAACATCCACTAACCAAGGCATTTAAAAAAATCTCCCGCTTCTGATTCTTCCTTTTTTTAAAAAAAGCTACATCAATATATGTTTTTTTTATTTTTATTTACTGTGATTGTTGTTTTGGTAAATGAGACAGGAAACAAATAATAAACAGTTGTAAAAATTAAAATACAATAGAAACAAATAAAACACATTTGCTTTAGTTTCACTAAAATATAATGCTAATCTGTTTCATAAATATCAAATATCACACCCAATATTCTAAATTTCCCTTAGGAAGATTAAATAAGAGAGCCAAAGCTAAAATGTAATTTTACCATGTCAAATAAATGTAAATTTTAAATGTAAATCAGCCCTGCAAATGCAGCATAATTAGAAAATGAACAACCCACAAAAATTGTCTATGGCTATATTCAGGTAATATGTGAGTGACCACATATGTAAAGTCTCTACAAATTCAATCCTGCAGACACGGCTTCACCCGTGCTCACAAGCAAGCCGAGAAACCAGTCTCCCCCGGAGAGAGACACAGGTGGTAAAGAAAAAAAACTCTTCCCATTTGCTTGGCATATATTATTATTAGTCTAGAAAGCACTAGTTATTTCTAAAGCGATTATAAAAGCACGTAAACAAAACAAAACAAAACAAAAGGTAAGGAGAGATTTTAAAAAGGGGAGTAGGAAGGAAGAAGCACCGGCAGCCAGAGGATTAAGTTTCAATTTAAAACTAAAGGGTCTCTTCTAGATCAACGTGGAACTCTAGCTTCTGAACATTTACTAATGATAGATAATCTAAACAGCTAGGTCTTTTTTTTTTTTTTTTTTTTTACAGCATTGATCACTGAAATAATTGGTGAATTTCAATAATCAACTACGTTGATTTTTTTATGCTCAGCAGTAAATACAGAAAATAAAAAACATAACTTCCTCATTGAAAAATTAATAGTGCAAATGAAACTGGTCTATCAGGGCCAAAATATTATTAAACAATGACAGCAATAAAAATGTAATCAAAAACATTCCTCCATGAAGACATTCAATTAGCTGACATTATAGAAAGCTGAATCCTCTCCATTCCTTCTACAATTTGAGATGAGAGCAAAAAACTATATTTCTATACACATCCTGCTATAATAGTAGTACTAGAAGATACAGAGAAGATAGTGTCAAATGGAAATCTGATTTAATTACCTTTTACTTTAAAAAAGAAAATAGTTCTATTTTTTAAAAGCTTAACATTTTTAGCAGGAAAGCACCGGAGTATTTTTTTATTAAAACAAGACACAAGGCAAATCCCTGACTTCAGTGTCTCAATCTGCCCATCAGCCCGTTCTGCAGTGGCTCCTTGGCATCTGATCTTTGAACAGTGGTAATGCACACCAGGGTTAAGATCTCTGCTGCACGTGAGCCTGTCCTCTTGGATTATTAACCAAGCACACACCCCAATCTCTTAGTTTCTACAATTATTAGTTGTTAAGAGGTGAAATCAGAATCACGGGCTAGATACAACTCTTTTTTTTACAATAAGAACACCAAGCTCCAGAATGTATGAACCCATTTCCCCAAAGGCACAGAGCTTGTTAAAGGCTGAGATGGAGACAGACCCAGGTGCTCAGGCCTCCTTCCACCCTCTCTTCCAGCTTCTCTAATTTTATTAACAATTTGGGGAATTATTAGTGATAGGCAGCCACTACCACACATCGGGAATTAAATTCAGAAGGTCCTCTTTTCGAAGAGAGCCCTCTCCCATTTTGCTACTTAAAAACAGAAGGTTTTCACAACTCCGCCTGCCACCAAATTACCAGAAAATTTTATCAAGACCCAAATTAAAACATTTAGAATTACCATCAGGAAAAACCAAAATATAGCCAAATGAAAACACGTTACTACACATCATCACCTTCTAAATCTTAATAATGTCTAAATCTAGGTTTTTGACCTGCCAATGGCATACAATCAAGCAAATACTGAAAACTCCAAGTAACATGTGGAATTTATAGTCTAAAGAACTTTCTACATAAAACTGAAAAAGAAGTGGAAACCCATCTGTGTTTACTCAGGAAGTCTGGAAAAGTTGAGCAAAATGAGTTGGAAATACAGGTCTATGCTATAGTGATATTTACTTTATTTCCGTTACTGCCAAAATAAAAGTTTGCTTCACTTTTATCCAACAAAGTACCCTTATTCTCGAGTAAGCCTCACTGCTCAAATGGAATCTTTAGAAACAGAAAAGCACATAGATCTAAAGAGAAATATACAATGATTTCATACTTGGATTCTAAAGACAGAGAACTAATTTTCCAACAGACTCAGCCTGGACTAAAACTTAGAACTTTCAATATGCAAGTTAAAATTGACTATGTATAGCTGTAACGTAAGATAAAGAAAGATGCTACCCTACTGCAAGAAAACAATCTTTTACACAGTGAGTCCTTCCACGTTCCAGGACCTGCAGCACAAGCCCTGGAAAGGCAGCCAGCACCCGTGTGGCCCAGGACGTGAGCACAGGGCTCTGGAGCCAGGTTGGCCTGAGTTCCCACCCAGCTCCCTGGCTCACGCAGTGGGCGACACTGGGCAGGTTTCCTAAATCCTCTAAACCTCAGTTCCTCTATCTGTATCATGAGAAGAACAACAGCACCTATTTCATAGAGTGCTGTGAGGATGAAATAAGGTGGCACAGGGAACGGGCTTAGAGCAGTGCCAGGCACACAGGAAGCTCTCAATAAATCTTACCTAATGTAATAGTCAAGACTGAGGAAGCACCTCAGCCTTCTTATAATCACAGCTAAACCTTAGTTTTCCTTTCCTAAAGCACAACATGTTTTATTAAAAATAATGTGCGAGTTCCAAACGAATCTAAGACCAATTAACTCTAGCTTCCCTTTATGGATTGTGTTATCTGCAAGCAGAGAATAGATGAGGCAGTCAACACTAACAAAGCGGTTCCCACCCTGTGTTAGATCCATTCCCCGAGATCAAAGGAAATCACACAAGTCAACAGCACCTCATCAGATCAGAACAGCAACTCAACGTCAACTTTCATTCATTCATGTAAGACTTACATTTTTTTAGAATGATTATTTAACTTTGTAAATTCATTTCAGCTTCTCAATGTCAAGTTGCCTGTAACTGTTTGAATGAGGAGCTGCGTTAAAACCTACACTGGGCTGATGTAATGTGAAAGTTACTTTTGCATATTGGGGCTATTTCTAAGGATTTTTGCTGTTTAACATTGGACTAACAGGCACAGCAATGTTGTTAACTATGGGTTTTTCCTTTTCAGATTAAAGCTAAGGCTGTGTGCCTTGCTCAGAAGAAACAATGTATTAAAACAAAACTTGAGAAAGCACTGTTGAATCCACAGGGCCACTAGAAATCACCCAACTCTATTTACAGATGAGGCAAAAGATGTTGGAAGAGATTAAAAGCTTGCCTAAAGACACACTGAGTCAGTCGCAGAGTGAGACCTAGCCCTAAATTCCCAGACTAGGGTCCAATGCTCTTTCCTTTATTTTACGCTGCCCTAAGGCATATCTGTCATGGGGCACCAAACAGTGAGGCCAGAGCAGAATGAATGAGAAATACCAACACCTGCATTTTGATGACAGTCTAAAAATCAAATTCCAGTCTGTTTTTAACAATTAGTTTCACTAATATCAACATAACCAAGAACACAGTTAAGCAGAATTCTGCTCAGTTCTGGGTGCTGAACTTTAAGAAGAATACAGAAAAACTAGACTTCATTCATAACCAAGAAACTTAACCATGCTGTCTGAGCTGGACTGCTGAGCTAGAGAAAGCTCAGGGAACACGAAGGCTGCCGGGTTATCAAGCAGAAGAAGGAAGAAGCTTCCTGTGTCAGAGACCCTGAGACCAGAACCAGAGGTAGGACCACAGGATGCAAGATACAGACATAGTCAGGGTTAACACAGGCAAGGACTTTTTTGTAGTACAGGAGGTGGAGTGACCGGCTGCTGGAATTTCCTATGGCATCACAGAACGTGGTCAAGGAAGGCAGGCATCGGGGTTATCACAGATGAGGATGTTGGGCCAAATGACCTTCAGGTCCCTTCTGGCCCTTGGGACTTTTTGTTTGTTTTGTCATGGCACGTCCTCCTTAAATTCCTGCTCAGCTGTGACATATTTGCCTGAATGCTGCACAAACCTGTTTTAGTAGGAATGTATAGGTACATACAATAAGCTCACCATCACCACCAACCAACTTCTAGTTTTTTCCTGAAACTTAAGATGCAAAAAATGCAGGTTTAAATTTTTTGAATGATTTGGCTTTAGGTGTGCTTTGTTTTCAGGCATGTGACATACACACACACACACACACACACACACACACACACACACCCCACTTTACAATCAAATTCCACAGCTTTTTCCTTAAATAAGGATGTGAAAATTCTGGTTTAAACTAAAAAAAAAAAAAA